TGCCTATTTCTGATCCGACATGCTTCCAATTATGATTACAGCGGTCAGGGAATAGGAATATAATGTTAAGTGTGCATTCGTCATTCATTGAATGCTGTCATACTAAACCCACAATGTGTCCTCTGAGTTGAGTCTTTATACTTCAGATTTGACTTATTTCACTGTGGTACCTTTTCAATGGTGCGCTAGAGACGACTCACCATCGCCGTTGCGTTGCAAACACATCTCCTTCGTTTACAACCACTCAGATGGAATGATCTCTTTTGATTCGGTAACAGCAACTATCAAATAAGCCGAGGACTTTGCTCTTATTCACACTGTGGTGAATCTGGTATGAACAGAGTTTTCCCTGATCATATCTAGACAAGGAAGGAAAATTCAATGGTATCACTTGTATAAGATACCTTTCATCCATTTTCATTCAACCCAGCACATCCGACACACTCATAGAGAACAACATCCCACACGCTTACTGTCGGTATACGGACAGGTAAGATCCGTATACATCTACATTCATCCTGTATCATTTACATTTAACATCAACTCATTTCCAATGCTAAGTCTCACAGTCACTCCTCTGTAGGGTATCTGTTGACTTCGGCAACACCACCGAACATATACCTAATTATATATTTTACCGTGCATCAGACTTTTAACCGACATTCTCTTCCTGCAAATTTGTATTCAAACCGCAGCCACCATATGCACTCCGAAGGGACTAATAAACGGGACAAGACAAAGTTCGAAACTCTGTCCTGCGGGCTACCGGTTCCCGTTGTACCAGATTATGTAGTTCTCTAGTTCGATTTTATGTCAAATCATTCCAAGAAAAGGCCGAGAATACATTTAACCATCACCAGTTTATAGCTCCGACATTTTCATGACTATTACGAACTTGTCTCAATGCCCCTGATTTTTTAAATGCCAGTCAATTGCATATACATATATTTTGCGTTGTCCCTAGACTCGCCTGGGGTGTTGAGCTAATAATCACTGTAATAATCTGCCTGTTTTGCTTCAAAGACTGTCTGGATAACTTTTATAGGATAATGCCATGACTGAAGCCATAATGTTCCCACACGACCGACTATTAGTCTAGCATTGTCTCCGGACTAGCTCATTGAGCAATTTTTGTACTGACAAATATATATGTTTGCTTTTTAAGGGTTAAGACTCCATCCCATATTTCCGAAGAAGGCACAGAGCGCCATACTTAAGAGTGCTTACAGTTCAAAATAAGCCAATTTATCTTTCATATTATCCAGATGATGTGATCTCTAATAGATTTGAAGTGTACGATAAGCGCAGATTCTGTCAGATTACTTGGAAAAAAATTTCTTCCGATAAAGATAACATTAGAAGCGGACACCTGAATAACTCAATTAATGACACGAAACTGAAGTTTAAACAGTTATTAATGGCCCTGCTCTCCAGCATATTTCTTTGGTTTATCATTAAGTCCTTCGTAGCTTCAACTATAAAGGACTTATTTACAATGTTTAAGGCATTGTCTATGTATATTCCTTTCTATTAAAGTTCTCCAGTGGTGAACAAACTTCGTCAACGCAAACTGTATCAATGATATGTAGTTTAGCGCTCCTGATTCTTTACACGTAAAGAATGAATTAATATTCTTCTCTCACAACTCTTGATTAGATTTATAATCAAATTGTCATAAAATGGTTTCTATATCTTTTGAAACATAATCGGAAAATATAAATAATATTGTAATTTGATCCCCATCACACCTTTCATCATACGTCTCTGCCATGATAACACATTAATATTGAAAATAAGAAACATATTTTTGACATTTTTTGTACGATGGCATATTTTAATGCGATTGGTCACACTTTACTTTGTGGTTAGAAAGAAACCAAAAACAGTTAAATAATATAAATCGTATTTATTGTAACCTGTATTTTGGTTTACATTTCTTTTATTTCAATTACAAAGAAATGAAAAGAAAAAACAAACTTTTAACACAATTTTACAAGTTGACAGTAGTATTACGTTTCGATTTATTTTTGTGCATTTATTTAGTTTTTTTGTTACGATTTATAAAGACCTGATAAAATATTATAATTGTGCTATGATTGATGGGTGTATGAATTAAATGTGAACATTTTTTGGTTATAATTGTTTACAAGTTGATATTTCATAATTTTTCGCTTTTCTTTTGTTGAAATTTTTGTGGAAATGACAAAGTATATTTTTAGGCGGGTATATTATAAATTGTAAGTACGTAGTTGCAAACATAAGTAATGAATGAAATTGCAACTAATAAAATAAATAAATTTTATAAAAAGGAAATAAAAATTAATATCAAAAAAAAATACAGAAATAAAAACTTCAGATTTGAGCCAGAATACTAGATGCACTGAGATAATATAGCAAATCGCAAAATTTTCTGGTTTAATAACATGCAAGTTTTGTCTGAGCTTGATGTAACCAAATCTCCAGGTCCTGATGGCATATCTGCCATTATTCTTAAGACTTGTTCTTCCTCTCTCTCGCCAAGGTTTAAAAGAAATCGTTTAAAGCTTTTCTTCATTGTTAGTAACAAACGTCATACTAATAGTTAAAAATGTGGTTACTCCAAACCGGGAAACTATCACCTAATTGCGATTTCCACCTGACAAGTTAAATGGAGACATGCAAACTTCTGAATGGTTGACAATATGACTTTCGCACTGGCTTCTCTCATCGCGGGAAAAACTGACATAGATGAATACAATATTTCCAAAGCATTTGATGTGATCTGACGTGAAGAACTAATATCTAAACTAATATCGTGTGCAGTTGGAATCAAATGTTTCCTTTTATTCCATACTTTCCATACTTATTCTATTAATAGATAGGTTAAGTTCAAACAACTAGACCTGAGTACAAAATGTATTCAGGTCTCCCTCAGAACTCCGTTCTCTCTTCAACTCTCTTTTGAATTCGTATGAATGATCTTCAATCTACCATTTCTAATCTGATCTAATCTATCATGGACGACTAATTACATTTTTATTGCGTACTTTCTACACAAATATTCTATAAGGGGAGTAATATATTGGTTTAGTTCAAATAACTGTAGTTTTAATTCAGGGGTCCCTCAGCGCTCCATTCAATCTGCAACTCTTTCTTTAATATTAATGAACGACTTTTTATCTATCACCTCTAATCCTATTTATTACTTCGTGGATGACTGATTTAGGATTTAATATGATTAACTCGAGTTAAATCGCGACCATACGCCTCCTCATACACAATGTTGTCTATTGATTCACAAACGACTTGAGACTCTACTTTTGCGGTAACTCTGTACTGATAGAGTGAATCAGACAAGGAAAATTCAGTACTTTTTGATTACTAAAAGTATCGTAGTACTCCCACTACATATGAAGTACATTTTTTTGCTTATTACTCTAAGACTAATCAATAGACTAATAGAATTAGTCAATAGATTAGTAAAAATTTCGTCCACATGCTCGACACTGGACTAGTTCATAGACAAGTCAATAGATTCGACTAGTCAATAGACGTTTCCATAGGCTAACCATAAACCAGTCAATAGACTATTCCATAGAGTTGTCCATAGACTAGTCAATAGACTTGTCCATAGACTAGCTAATAGACATGCCCATGGACTATATTAGAGACTAGTCAATAGACATCTCCATGAACTATAGAGACTAGTTAATAGACTATTCCATAGACTAGTCCACAGACTAATCTATAGGCTAGTCAATAAACTAAACAATAGACTAGTTAATAGACTAGACAATAGACTAGTCAATAGAGTAGACAATAGACTATTTAAAAGACTAGTACATATACAAGTCAATATACTATAAAATAAACTATCCAATAGACTAGTCCATATAATAGTCAATAGATTAGCCCATAGACTACTCTATAGGCTAGTCCATAGTGTAGTCAATAAACCAGTTGATATTTTAGTTCACAGTCTTGTCAATAGGCCTATTTACAGACTTTCTTATGAACTAGCCCAGCGAAAAATATCCAAAAAGTAATTTGGTACTTTTACCCCAAAAAAGTACTATTTTGTGGCAAAAGACATACAATCAACTTTTTGTTGGAAAAAGTTAAAAAGTCGATGAAATCGAAAAGACGACTTTGAAAATAAGAGCTGAAAAAATTCGAGAAAAGTCTCGACTTTTCGCAAATTACAGAAAACCCACCTTTTGCTTCAACTATAGAACCCTACTAGACATATGACCGACTTAAAATGCAATATAATTTCGACGTAGGGGCTAGAGCACCAAGTACTACTGGTGTTGGACCTGGTTCAAAGAAGAGCTTTGAGCCTCATAGTAGATGAAACTATTACACAGAAAGAAAAAGAAATATACACGCCTGGTACTAAATTGACAACAAACTGGCAACGGATTGTTTATCAATAGTCAGCTTACCACGTTTGTTAACATTTAGACAACGGATGTGTATAAAATTTAGATTTCGACAACGAATTGTTGCAATGTTGTCAACATTATATAGTGATGTCGTACGTATGTATATACTTTGACAACGGATATTATTGAAAAAGTTTGGTGTCAATTTGGTACCAGGCGTGTATATATTTCTTGTATGTTTGTATGATCGTGTGATTTTCGGGAATCTAGTTATGATTTAAAGTCTAATGATTTGCTCTCACTACATACCGATGGGTAACGACGATTGTAGAGGAGCCATTGGAAATAGAGTTTTTGCTCTAACTGAATTTTTTTATAGTTTTAGATCATATTTTAGAAAAAGGTATTTAAATAATTAAAACTATTTTAAAAATCTATAGTTTTTCTTTATTTTAACAAAGAACTAAATAACTAAAAATTACAACTTAAATTAAAAAAATAAAGAAATTAAAAAATAAAATTTACACAAAATAAGGAAAATATTTTAAAACCTAAATAATAAAATAAATAAATTTTCTCATTTAAATCTTTCTATATAAAAGACAAATTTGATAACAATAACAAAATATTGACTAGTTAGTTTTTACTTAGATTTTTTTCACTTAAAATCTCTAACAAATTTATAATGGAAGCCTTAATGGAACTGCTTGCTTATGGAACATTGTAACACACGCTTTAGCGATCAACCTTGTCTGCGTATCGGCCGTACACCCCAATCTTCTTTAATCATATCAGAAGCTTTCTCGCCTATCATAATAACTGGGGCATTAGGATTACCATTGACAATAGTGGGCATAATACTGGCATCTACCACACGTAAACCGGAAACACCATAAACTCTAAGGCGGGAATCAACCACGGCCGTGGTATCCCAACTGGGACCCATTTTACAAGTACCCGAGGGATGATAAATGGTAAAGGTGAACTGTTTAATGCAACAGGCCCAATAGGCATCGCTATTGAATTCTAGATGCCTACAGCCCGGCAAGGGAATGTTGTGTAATCTGGAGCCAAACCTTTGGAAAGCTTGGGTATTGGAAACATTAATGGCCAATTTAATACCCTCCACCAACACATCTATATCTTCCTGATGGGCGAAATAATTGGGTATTATTTTAGGTTGTTGCTGAGGATTACGGGAGTTAAGGCGTATCCAGCCGGTACTTTTGGGTCTTAGCAGTAAAGGTAATATAGACCAGGTTTCAGAATTTTGCAAGGGCTTGTAGACGGTATTATAGAAACCATCTCGTAGATTTAAGATTTTGCGTATCTGTTCCCCACCATCGGAATTAATAGAACTGGGACAGAAATGAAATTGTATATCGGGCCAATCAATTTTAGGATCTTGATATTTGCTGTTAAGGAAAGCTACACCTTCCACTCCCGTAAAAGTCATAGGACCACGTTCTCTTAAAATATACTCCATGGAAACGGGTATAGTTTGGAAACGATTGCGAGTAACGGTAAGAGGAGCATCTACCACAAATGTTAGACCTCCCAAGCCCACATGATCTTGTAGATTACTGCCCACAGGCAAATCAGATACTACCGGTATGCCCATTTCTTGTAAATGATCTGAGGGTCCTATACCCGACAGCATGAGTAATTGTGGTGAGTTAAGGGCACCAGCGGAAGAAATCACTTCTCTTCTGACAAACACTATATTCTTGCGTCCTTTTTTTATATATTCCACTCCGGTAGCTCTTTTATTTTATCTATAATAATGCGCGTGGCTTGGGCATGTAAAAGCACATCCAAATTTTTGCGCAAACGCACTGGTCTTATGAAAGCCTTGCCGGTACTGCATCTAGAACCTCTTCTCACCGTTGACTGAGTGATCATGAAACCAGTCTGCAGCTCACCATTAATATCACGATTTTCATAACCCATTTCTAGACCGGCTTGTAAAAATGCTATAGAAAGAGGAGTACGCCAGGGTGACTCCTGCACAGTTAAGTAGCCGCCCGTTTCGTGGTAGGGTGTTTGGGCCAAATAGGGATTACGCACATCTTCTGATTTAAGGAAATATTTTAAAACATCTTCATAACCCCAGCCAGGATTACCCAAAGATTCCCAATGATTGTAGTCATTTTTGGAACCTCTAACATAAACCATGGCATTGAGAACACTGGAACCACCCAAAACTTTGCCTCTAGGCCAAAAACAGCGATCACCTTTCATGGCCTGACAATATTGTCGCGTAGCAGAGGGGGTAGTTTGATACTTCCAATCCAGATCAGTGAGTTGTAAATAACCAGCCAAGGCGGGTACATCGGATATTTCAGTTTCATCACCACCCGCCTCTAATAATAAAACCGTCCAGTTCTTAATTTCCGACAAACGATTGGCCACTACTGCTCCGGCCGAGCCGCCACCTATAATCACAAAATCATATTGGCGTCTTATCTAAAATAAAAGAAGAAATATCCTTTAGAAAACCATTTCTTATATCAATTTTCAAAACTTACTACTTGCGGCTCCTGCACCTTATTTTCGGGATCCACAGTTTGATAACGATAGTAATTCATGCCGATTGCCAGTAGGGGTATCATACCGAGCAAAGATGTCATTGTACCAAATGCCATTTTTCAGTAATTGTCAGATCCACGGATCGTCTTTAACTTTAGATTTCTGTTTACTAAAACCGTTTGCTTCCGGCGCACTGGTAGATAGTGATACTTCCGATAATATTTTTGGTGTATAATTACGTATACCACCCGGTTTGGCCACCTTATACTGAGCCTTTGCCTTTTGATCTTCTTCTAAAATATCAAGATATGATTTTATATATAAATGATGATCTAAATAATCTTTTTGTTTTTGCAATGATTTATTTGATTTGGTGGAAACAACAGATGTGGCCCCTCCACTTGCTACCGATGCAGCTGAGGAAAAACGAGTGGGCGTACAATGACACGATGAATAGTAAATGCCACTGTCAGTGCTTTGTGAACTCTTACGTTTATAATTACCCTTGATATCTCGATACAGCTCTTCGGCTGTTTCAAAAGCGCTCGATTGATAATCCGATGTTGAGGAATGACTGTCAAGTGATTTACGTGAACCTAATTGTGATTTAGATATTTTCGCTTTTTCATACGTTTGTTTCGTTAAATTATACTTCTGTCTTTGCCGATAGTATTCGTCGTCTGTAGAGGAAGCGTTAGAGATGCTGGACGAGGTATAGATTAATTCTTTGTGTTGCTTATAGCGTGGCTTGGGTATAGAAAAGCTTGGAGAGTTATTTTTGTGAAACGTAGTTGATTGATAGTTTTGTTTGTCTTGTTGGTGCTGATGAAAGTTTGGTTGTTGCTGAGGAAAAGGTTGCTGTTGTCGTCTAGAAGTGTTACATTTATTTTGTTGTGATATCTCTTGTCCCATATTTTAATTGATTGAAATATAGGAAACTGAAACAAAAGAAAGAAAATTTTAAGAAATTTTACTTAAAATATTACAAAAATATATATTTTAAATTTAGTCGGAAGTTTTAAAAAATAATAATAATTCCATATCATCTAACCTCGGCCCAGACCTAGAACATATTTAAACTTTTCTATAGAAGTGTTGTGAACATTTTCCATAGAAGTGTTGTAAACATTTTGCATAGAAAAGTTGTAAACTTTTCCATAAAAATTTGTGAACTTTTCCGTAGAAAAGTTGTGAACATTTCCATATAAAAGTTGTGAACATTTCCATATAAAAGTTGTGAACTTTTCCATAGAAAAGTTGTGAACTTTTCCATAAAAAAGTTGTGAACTTTTCCATAAAAAAGTTGTGAACTTTTCCATAGAAAAGTTGTGAACTTTTCCATAGAAAAGTTGTGAACTTTTCCATAGAAAAGTTGTGAACTTTTCCATAGAAAAATTGTGAACTTTTCCATAGAAAAATTGTGAACTTTTCCATAGAAAAGTTGTGAACTTTTCCATAGAAAAGTTGTGAACTTTTCCATAGAAAAGTTGTGAACTTTTCCATAGAAAAGTTTTGAACTTTTCCATAGAAAAGTTGTGAACTTTTCTTTAGGAAAGATGTAAACTATTCTTTAGAAAAAATTTAAACTTTTCTCTAGAAAAGTTTGTTAACTTTTCTTTAAAGAAGTTTTTGGACTTTTCCATAGAATGGTTGTGAACATTCTTGAGAAAAGTTACTGAACTTTTCTTTTCAGAAGAGCTTGTGAACTTTTGTTTAGAAAAGAAGTAAACTATTCTTTAGAAAAAATGTGAACTTTTCTTTAGAAAAGCTTTTGGACATTTACTTAAAAAAGATTTTGGACATTTCCTTAGAAAAGCTTTTAAACTTTTCTTTAGATAAACTTTTAAGCTTTTCTTTAGAAAAGCTTTTAAACTTTCTTTAGAAAAACTTTTAAACTTATCTTTAGAAAAGCTTTTAAACTTTTCTTAAGAAAAGTTCGAAAACTTTTCTTAAGAAAAGTTTAAAAGCTTTCCTAAGGAAAAGTGTAAAAGCTTTTCTAAAGAAAGGTTTTAAGGCTTTTCTAAAGAAAAGTTTTAAAGCTTTTATAAAGAAAAGTTTTATAATTTTTCTAAAGAAAAGTTTAAAAGCTTTTCTAAAGAAAAGTTTTAAAGCTTTTCCAAAGAAAAGTTTAAAAGCTTTTCCAAAGAAAATTTTAAAAGCTTTTCTAAAGAAAAGTTTAAAAAATTTTCTAAAGAAAAGTTTAAAAGCTTTTCTAAAGAAAAGTTTAAAAGCTTTTCTTTAGAAAAATTTTAAAACTTTTCTTTATAAAAGCTTTAAAACTTTTCTTTAGAAAAGCCTTAAAACCTTTCTTTAGAAAAGCTTTTACACTTTTCTTTAGAAAAGCTTTTAAACTTTTCTTAAGAAAAGTTTTCGAAATTTTCAGTAGAAATTTGTAAATTTTTTCGAAAAGCTTGTAAATTTTCCTTTAAAGCTTAAAAAGGAGAAGTTTTCCCTAGCCCAAAGTTTACTTTTTTCTAAGTTTTATGAATGTTGAAGTTGTTTTTATGAAATGTTGACAAAATATTTTCCTAGTTAGGCAATAACATGTCTTAGTAATACAAAAAATTTGGACTATTTTTGTCAGTAGTTTCCTGTTAGTGCTAGTTTTTAATCAGGTGTAAAGTTTTAAAAATTCCAGTTACTTAAGTACTCAAACAGAGTTAAAGTCTTTCTCTTTTTCTGTGACAGGTGTTCACTAACAAAATTAAAATCGGAAGGAAATACACATTAGTGAAAAAAAAAGTAGAAAAAAACTAAATGTTGCTGATCTATAAAAATTATGATTATTATTAGCAGTTGAAAGCCCAGAAACCATTTTACGTTTAAATAAACCACTGATTGCAGCAGCAACAATCATAATAATAACGCGCGCATAGTGTATGGTAGACATAAACAAAAAACTTAAGCAACAAACTTGTTTTTTTCGCAAGCAATTTTTTTTTATTTGATTTTTTATTTATTTATGCCTTTCTTGGTATATTTCGAATTAAACAATTTACAGAAAAATAATAAACGGGTATTAATTAATAGTCATGATTTAGACAAGAGTTAAAGAAATGATTTTATGAAAACAACAAGACTAAGACTGAGGTCTTTTAAGCATTTTTTTATGATAAATTATGTCAAACGTTTTGAGTAGACAGACACAACAATTGATTTGAAAATAATATTTTTAAATTAAAATTAACTGCAGTAAAAAGACATCAAGTTGTAAAGTCTTTTACTTTAACATTAATATTAATGATTACAAAATATTTTTTTTTTATTTCAAAGATCTTAAACTGGTTGCTGATACAAACATTTCTTTAGCGGCATAATTGTATAGTTTCTCATAGCTTATGGTCAGTTAAACTATTTCATGAATTCAAGTTCATTGCCATTTAAATGTTTTCTATTTAATATAATTCATTTGAAATTTTTTTCTATAACGTAGGTTGGTTTTGGTCTCATGACTCTCTCATCTAACTATTATTTGTTTTCTTTTATTAAGTTTTTTATTTTCGTATTTGAAAACGGAAATCCATGACAAATCTGGTTTTGTAGAAAAAAAATTTTTATTTCAAATTGGGAAATAACAAGCTGTAAACGAAAAACGTAACTAACATTACAAAATATATAATGACAAAGTATTGCATGTAACTTTAATAAAAAATAAAAGGATTTTGTTTAACAAACTGAAATTGTTATATGATTTTGCTGTTGTTTTTTTAAAACAAAATTTGCATCCTTATGGAAATCTACATTTCCGCTTATAAATTTCATAAATTAAACTACAAAGTTTCAAATTCATTACAAATTTCACTTGCAAAACCTTACTATTAGTTAAAAATTTGCATTTACACTCCTTAAAAAAAAAATAAATCATCATTTCAACCAATTCCTCTTATAGTTTTGCGGTTTATCTATGGCCTCTTTTAAATTATCATAAATTATTACCATAATTTTGAGTTATGTTTCAAAGTTTATATATCTTTTGCATGTTTCTCTACATCTTTTTACCACAACTTAACATCATGTATCTGTTGGTTTCTTATATATTTATTACATTGTCTAGTATAATATTTTATTTAATATTATTTTATTGCTGCACGCAATTACCGCATTGTCTTTTGTTTGCTGAAAAGACATGAAAACCTCAATTTTGTTATGAATTCATTTTAAACTTAATCTTCCGTATTTTTTATTTAATATATTGTGCATCATATGATGTGATACACTTAGGGAAAAAATGTAGTAATATGAGCTTAATAACAAAAGTAACTATAAAGCTATGAACTCATAGAAATTGCACATATCAGTTTATCCATCGTAAATCTATTTATACCCTACATCACTTTAGTGGGGAGGGTATATTGGGTTTGTGTTGATGTTTGTAACGCTCAATAATATTGATCCTATACCCACCTTAAAGTAAACCAATCGGCATAGAATCATTTTCTGAGTCGATTTAGCTATGTCCGTCCGTCCATGTAAACTTTTAATCAAACTGCGCAATTTTGAAAATAATCCAATGAAATTTGGTGCATGATCATAAGATTACCCAGGGACGAAGCCTATTGAAAATGGTTAAGATCGGTCGATTATTTCACCTAGCCCCCATACAACTGAACCCTTGCATAGGGCTTGTAAACATTGTAATCAAACTACAGGTCGCTATTTTGGCACACGACCTTCCTTCTATGGTACCGGAAACGAAGCATATTGAAAATGGTTAACATCGGTCCATTATTTCACCTAACCCCCATACAACTGAACCCGAAGAATAGGGCTTTAAAGTTCATAATTATGTTTAATATACTCGTATCTCGACAAAAAGCTGCAAAACCAAGTTCTATTCTAGCCTTGATGACTCTCATGAATTTCATAATTATAGGGTCTTATTTAACCATACCCCCTATATAAAGTCGCCTTCAAAATTTGACTTAAATGTCCACAATTTTATTCAACAATAAATGGCTTAAGTATATCTGAGGCAAAGTACAATTCAAATTAAATGCTTTATTATGAAAACTAAATTACATTTTATTTTTGTAACAGGTGTAGGGTATTATATAGTCGGCCTCGTCCGACTATAATTTCTTATTTAAACTTCAAGATTTTTCGAAATCTCAAATTAGCAAGAGGAGGTCTATATTTAATATAATAAAAACATTTTTGGTGCAGGACCTACATAACCCAGAACCGGCGGCAAGTGATGACCTGCTCTTGAGTCAAGTGTCGTTGTCATCCTGCAAACGTGAGCAAAAAACTACTACGGAGGTGGGTATATTGGTCTCCGTGGCGGACAAGAATGTCAATGTGCTTAAAGTGAACACCTACCTTGATGGCCTTATTCTACTGTGGTCTTTTTCAACCACTAAGTGGACTTGGGACGGTCTACCACTCGACCCTGAATCCTTCTATGAAGAAATTAGGTGCAAGTCTTTGTACATGGCTTTACCGGTCCATGAACAAGCATCTTGCTCAAGTATCCGAGCTATCTAATCTCTTACCATAGCAGTGCCGTTGCGGAATGACAGGCAGCATGAGATCAATCTCAGTGCATATCCCGACAAGGAAAAGCAATCACTGGTCTAAAGTAAATAGAAGGGGAGACCCCAACATCAGGTGAAATCAATCT